AAAAGTCCAGATATGGGCTTCTCATGACGAGGAGGCCCCGGAAAGGTGAAAATCTGGATGCCGAGCAGCTGCGTTCAAGCGGAAAATCTGCTCAACTGTACATGACAATTGATTTCTTCCAAGTCTGGAAATTCCCTTCCTCGTAAAGCTCAACCTCACACCCTTTATTCTCTGATGGATACACATAGCCGTTTCCCTTGAACCGCTACCTTCGTTCTGGACATATTTATACACTTTCAAAACTCTCAGCAAAGAGACCAGGAACACAAGTTTTTTTTTCAATGTAGAGTGGGAGCTGCATTGGTCGGCAGCAGTGAACAAAGAACCTGACAAGCAAAAATGCGGAACATTCAAACTCATATCGACCTATTCGGTTTTCGGTTACCTCACGGCATTTGAGATTTTCTTAGACGACAGACCATGTTCTTTATAGAGAAGATCATGGAAGGCAACATTTCTACAGGATTCCATTTTAAAGTTCAAGAACAGCTAAAGGGTGCAAACAGCAAGTATGCTTCTCTACAATACCACCCGTAATTTGTGAAAAAAAATGGCGGCGGCACTTAACTTACGCGGCGCCGCCGAAGTTAGGTGACTTTTGCCGCGTCGCGCGGCAAAAGTCGTTGAGGACAAAGACCACGATTTTCGTAAAGAGCGTGTTCGAAAACCTCTATAAGCGAACTTTCCTTACAATTTAAGAGCATGAACATTTTGACCAAAATCCATCGGCCAGCTTCAAAGCGTAAAACGAGAAAAAATGAAATTACTTGAAAATCTTGGAAAACTTGCACTTAAGGGTTATCCGACCTGCTGGTTACGAAAATCACATCTGCTTAGCAAGAGAGCTTCATATTTTAGAGTTACGTTGAGAAAAATTTAGAAGGACATGATTTTTCCAGAATTCACCAGCCCTTCTAACTCCTTTGAAAAGGATTGTGCGGCTACTTTCTAGCGCTCCATAATCTACAAAAGAAGTACTATCGAAAATTTCTTTCTGAATGTACTGGGGGCAATACGCGCTGCTTCACACCTTTGCGAAGAGACGTCCGCAGAAAGTTTTGAGAATACTGAAATCGAGATATCAAGGACATTCTGCATACCGAAAGATTTGCCTTGATGAGCTGAGCACAACGCATTTTTCGGATTCAGAAAATATCCACTCCAAAGAAAGTTACGGCGAGTAGAATCTGGAAACGAGTGATTTTTCCAGAATTTACCAACGCTTTTTTCTCTTTTGAAAAGAAGTCTGCGGCAGCTTACTAGCGCACTATAATGCACAAGAAGAGCACTATCGAATGGTGCTTACTGGAAGCTTTCAAGTTGGATAGGCGCTGCGTTACATACTTGCAAAGGGACCTCCTCAGAACAATTTGAGAAAACTGAAAACAAGATATAGATGACATGACGTATGTAGAAAGATTCGCCTTGACGAGATGAACACAGTGCTGCTTTCGAATTTAGAATATATTAATTCCGAAGAAAGTTATGGCGCTGCATAATTTGCGATAATCCGGAATCGCGAAATTTCTGGAATTTCGCGCAATTCCCGTTCTGTGAGTGGTATTGTACATTGCACAGCACGCGCGGCATTCCGCGATATGTGCTTCTCATGCGATTTCCGACCATTTCCCTTTGTCTTCCTGCATTTTGGGACCCGTCATACTTCGCCGAGAAAAGCCCACTTTCACACATATCCATGCAGAATGAGCTGCCCAGTTTCACATATATCCATGCAGAACGAGCTCTTAAACTATACCTGCCCTATTTCTGCTGTGCTCAATAGAATGTGTACGTATCCTCTGGAATAAGCACACTGAATGGTCCATTTACACTAAAATTCCAGGAAAGAAACTTATATCCCACAACTAGGCACATCCGTATACTGGAAGATGCGCCTCGCCGAGCTGAGTTGAATGGTACTCTTATATATAGAATTCATGAATTTTGAATCAAGATAAGGTCTTTTTTTATAAAAAGTTAGGCGTTGCGCGACAAAGTTAGGTGACTTTGGCCGCTTTTCCGCCGACTTTTGCCGCGCGACGCGGCAAAAGTCACCTAACTTCGGCGGCGCCGCGTAAGTTAAGTGCCGCCGCCATTTTTTTTCACAAATTACGGGTGGTATTGTATGTGTATCTGTATGATTCTGCTGCAGATATAAGTGAACGTGTTACGACCAAAAGTGTCCTGCAAAATGCATTGTCATGCAAGTCTGCTATATATCAACTGCCTCTGGACCACCGTATCTTCAATATTCATCATCTTCATCAATAACACATGGCAGAATAACATGAAATTAAACACGCAACAAGACACAAATGTTGGGAATTTAAGGTGCTGCGATGAGGCATCTTCGAATTGTAACTCTTCACCTTCATGTAGAGGCTTTGCCCAAACAAATAGACGCAAGAATTTTGCACCAAAACCTTTACAAGCCGGTTTGGAAATATTTGGAAACAATTTAATGATTGTACAAACATGTGTCAAATTTACCAGAGGTAGCGGATTCCATAATAAGCAGAAAGAAAAAACTTTCCATGGGGAACATGGCTATTGTACATAGCGTCCCTCGATCGATAGCTATCTGATGAAAAGAAAAATTACATTGCGACCGCAAACCTTCACAATATGAGCATCTTGACAACTTTTTTTTTCGCGATATGCCAATGATCTCATTCACTTTGACGACCTCTAAGAAGTGCAATATTTCTTTCCAACTGCCAAAGAATCGAGCGAATTAGAATGAATTGGAGAAAACTGCTAAATCAAAGACCTCAGTGCGTGTCAGTGCAAGAATTATGTTCTAACCTTATGGATGCCTGGTTTCCAAGCATAAGCCTATAAAAAATCGTCATTGGTACTAGCATTAGGCATCGTTCATACCTCACGCGATCACACGCCACAACACCCATTTTTCGTGCGAGGCATAGTTGATGCACGGAATCGCCCGGACCAATCGTATCTCTTGCGCGCTAACATTGGCATTCGCGCGCATGAGTCATCATAGCGCCCGTACAAGGGCCCGGCACCGATGGTTGGGGGTCAAACTGGACTTCGTTTTTGGAGTTAGAAGCAACGGGGATATCGCTTTTATAAGGTCGTGGAGGAAGCGCCAAAAAAAACACGACGAACATGTCAGGTTTCACGAGTTGAACGTGTTTTTTCGCAAGCGCGCGAATTTCAAATGCAAGACTCAAACAAACAAATGGCTTGTTTACAGCGCACAAACAATCACATGGCTCCGAATTTGGGCTATGAGTATACAATATTACTCCAAACCATGTTATGTAAAAAGTTCCCAAAATTTATGTGTCCTAATATCCGTTCTCGAATTTGTTGGTTTCTAGACCAACTACCAAACCACTGGGTTGGTCCGGAGCATAAATATCGGAGAGTTCACACAAATTTTGGACCTTTTTGATTTGGACGATTAGAACGGTCAAAAATCTATCATATAGTGAAGAGAGCGGATCAAACCGTTGCCTCTCCCCTTTTTTTGAGTCAAAAGTAGTATAATTCTACGCGTTGATAGATAACGCGCTCCAATCACTTGCGGTGTCCTTTGAAATATGTGGCGAAAAATGCATCGCAGGATTGCTGAGGCTACAGATTTGGTTGGCCTAGGAGAATCTCGACATTCCCAGCATCAAAATGGTACTATACCCAATGGCAGAGCCTTTAATCGACTCGAAATGTTTTCTTTTTGCTTTTTTGTTATATTACATACCTCAAAATGCGCTTTTTTCGCTTTTTTGTTGCTATTTTGGTTGAATAAGGGTTTTCCCACTGATTTTCACGTCGAGAGGGACTTCGTGAATTTTCGCGAAGTCATGTGGGACTTCGTTTCCTAAAACCCTCCAAACCAACGCGTGCCGAGAACTGGCCCGTACTCGATAGCCGCGTTGCAGGCACGCTCGCGTGCGTTCAGCCTACAGCAACCCTAGCGATTTCGCGCAGGCGACTTTATGGCTTAAGGCCTTAAAGGCACCGTCTACCCAAAATTTCGACCTCCATGTTTTTGCCGATCCAGGGCCTTCCCATAACCCCGATTCCGAATATCAAGTCGAAAATCCGCGAAAACCACGAAAACCCCCGTTTTCAGACCGAAGAGCGGTTTCTTCGATACGGTGGGTTGAGCGCGCACGGATGGGCGGGACGAAAGTCACGCCCACCCAAAAGGGGAGGAGCCAACGTCGCGAACCGTCACCTGAAGCGAATTCCGAAGCAATTTTCTCGCTTCGGAAGCAACTTTTGCCAGCGCGAGTTGGGTAAGTATACAGTTGAGAGCCCCACTACTGTTAGGCATCAAAATCTCATCGACCCCATTTTGGGTGGACGGTGCCTTTAAGGCTTCTCAGATGAATTCAAGGATTGCAACAAAGACAGAGCGGCAGTGACGAGAAACATTCGATACATCTACGGCGATAGATTTGTCATTCTTGCAAGAATAAAAAATTATGTTCTCCTTTGCATAGACCCAAGTGATTCTAACTCGTTAGTGATTTCACATATAAAATGAAGGAGCTCTTTTGAGTTGATTAGAAGGATATTCTTGGTGAAGCACATCTAGGGCAGATTGTCCATTCTAAGTACAGCAGCCTTATTTAGAAAAATGTTCATGCACATTCTTACTTTCAAGTACCTGCGACCGTATTCGGATTGCCTCATGCATTAGTCCCTTCCTTAGGCCTCGGGCAGAGTTCTCGCGATTTGATCGTCGCGATTCAACCGCTACAAGGCAAATGTTACGAGTTCATTGCATGCCGATCTTCTTGTATTTCGGTTGTGATAGTTAGTCACGATTAGCGTGTTGGAAAACTATCACAACCGAGTTGCAAGAAGATCGGCATGCAATGATAGTGTCAAAGTTTACATGTCGCGTTCAATCGCGACGATCAAATCGCGTGAATTTTGCCCGAGCCCTTAGGCCTTTCCAATGCAAGATTTACAACATCAAATACGCTGTAACATCAATACTTAGAAAAAGGATAAAGACTCTTCTAGTAGATGTTATACGTATACAATGTGGAAACAGTCAATAAAAGTGTGGAAACGGATCTCCAACAGGTGTTCGGCTTGACATAGCAACATCTTCAATTAGGAATCCATCAGCGGGATATATTATAAGGAACAACCACTTTGGCACACAGTCCGTTAACTCGTGACGTGTAAGCATGACAGGATAGTACAGGATTAGTCTGGACCATATACAGGATTGTACAGGATTAGTCTGGACCATATAAAGTAAGCCAGGAGCATTGTTGGTCTCGAGCCGAAGACCGTGGAAGCATATTACTTGAGTGCGACCAAGTGTATCCGACACAAATGAGAGTGTCGACTGAAAACAAAAACGTTATGTTGAACCAACAGGCTAACTAGAGGCCATATATACACGCTGCCCAAAAAATATATCGAACGTTTGATCTTCAATAACTCATTCGCGTGAAAAGCCTTCACGCCTTGGAATTCTACAATGACCAATATGAAGCGAATCATCGATCTCTCTTCATTTTCCCGTAGGTTTTCGGTCACCCTGAATTCAGTACTCAGCTTCTGTAGGTATAGGCCGTCCGCGCTGCGGTCGGAGAGCAACGCTGTTGCGTCCATTGAAGGCAGCTCATGACTAGAGGAGGCGCAGAGCAAACACGCGGCGAGAGTGCACGAGCAAAGAGGAGTGACGCGCACTACGCACCTTGCGCATTCTCCGCGCCCTGCGCGGATGGCCTATAACAGATGTTTTTAAATGGCGTAATTGCACATTTGAGCAACAGTAAGAAGACGCTGTCACGGTTTCCGCGGCCTAAATTACAAGAAACAGCAAACTTTTCATATAGAGGCAGCGATTTTAACACGTTTCGGACCGCGAAATCGCGCGCGGCGAAAAATAGTGTACTTTCAGTCACTAGCCAATAAAGGGATTTTGATTCGTAGATTCTGTGCTACATCTGTAATCAGCTTGTCAGGTAAGTTCCATACCCAAAGTTCTGAGTGGATTCCAAGTGTTTAAATTTTGTCGCTTGTGGACTTCTGTGCTTTTCTGAAAGATAGGAACAATAACTCAGTTTCGAATAGTATCCAAAAGTATCTATGTTGTAGACGGTACATCAGTATTGAAACTACGGTTTTTCGCTTTGATACAGAAGCAAAGGAAAGTTGCGACGTCGCACGCGTCGTTCGCGTTGCCGCACTTCGTTGCAACTGTTGTTCGATTTGTGCTCATGTCTCCTAAACAAATACCGGCGGCACAACTCTACGGAGTCACTTGAAAAGTAGAAGCCTAGGCCTTTGATTCGACAACCTTGGACTAAAAGAAAACTTCCTGTAAACGTCAAGAAGATCCTTCAAAACAGCGTACTGCACCATGTGCAGACCGGTCCGAAACGTGTTACAGTCGAATAGATTTCCTGCTTAATATTGTGTTCCTGCAGACGCGACAACGCTGGGGCGTCAATAATTGCCTTGCGAGTTTCCAAACGAATGTTTTCCACTGTTTTCTTTGCTTATCCTTTGCTTTTCAGGTATTTCTTTGCTGTTAAAGAGGAAAAGGGTAAGTTAGATAGCAGTGGCGTACCCAGGATTTCGGCTCGGGGGGGGGGGGCGCGCGACAAAAAATTTTTTCAAAGGAAGGTGCGTGGCGTTAGCCACGCACTCCGAAAAAATTGGGGTGCTTTTCAAAACTTTTGCGGGTCCCCCGACCCCTAAATCTGGAAAAAGGGGGCGTGGCGTCAGCCACGCCCCCGAAAAAAATTTTTTTAGAAGGCTAATTAGAATTTTTAAAAATTATTTTAATTATTTACAAAAATAAACAAGTCACTTGCACATTTTTATAACCCATATAAGTAACTTTCAAAAATTTCGCGACCCATTCTCGGGGGGGGGGGGCGCGCCCCCCCCCCCCGCCCCCTCCCCTCGGTACGCCACTGTTAGATAGTAGTTTCTGTTTTCTGAGAAGTTTCATCATCGCATATTCACAGATATCTACGTAGAAGCAGTTCGCGTCAGTTTTATGCCTATTTTTTGTGTCATTTCCTTTTCTTTTGTCAATTCAACCCTCTTTCTTCTTGTGAGACGTTTCTTTGAACGCTTGTTGGCTTGTCTTGTAACAACTTCAGCTTTCACCCATAAGAAATATCATTAGAGGGAGAACTTCATGTGATAAAGACAATAAGTCAATCGTGAAAACCTACTAGCGTTCAAGGAAGTACTTCACAAGAAGAAAGAGACATGAAGTGACAAGAACACGCATGAAACTGATGCGATCAGCTTCTACATGGATATCTGAGATTAAGCGATGAAACAGCTACTCAGAAAACGGACTTTATCCCCTAGTTTACTCTCTTCTCCTTTATCAGTGACGATTTACCTAAAAAGAATAAGAATAAGATAAGAAAACGCTAGAAAACATTCACTCGGAAACTCGCAAGGCAATTATTGACGCCCCAGCGTTGTCGCGTCTGCAGGGACACTATATTAAGCATGAAATCTACTCGACTGTAACTAGGCTAAGGTAAAATTTTCCACGTTGCCTGCTTTGTTTTCTGAGGCAAAACAGTGTCATAATCGGCAAAATTAGTTCATAATCTACACTGATGAAGAGAGCAGCGATTCGCCCCATACTGTAAATCTCTATTTAAAGAGAGTCAGTTTTTCACTACGATGTTGGCGCGAAAAGCCTTTCATACAACCAAGTCATTTGAGATGAAACATTTGGTTATTTATTTGGACACCCTGTAACGGGATTCGCAAAGAATTGTATGTTATGGACCCAACAAATGTGTTGAAAACCTTAAATACACTAATAATCGGTATTTGACACTTTCTAGCTATACAGTCAAGTACACAACATAATCGCGGCGCTATTCCGCTATCCGGATGTCGTAGATTATCCAAATAATCTACAACTTTTAGCATTGTATATCTACCGTGTATGTTATATTCAGTATATCTGTTAGCTTGTCGTTGACAAACCTTATTGTTCACTGACCACTTAAGCCGCCAGGTCACCCCTCCGCTGTGCTTAATAGTCTACTTGGCGGCGCCTACTTTTATGTAGGCAATCCTTCATGCTGTATGATACTATTGTTTACCAGAAGTGAGCATTCAGGTTATCCACGCCCAAAATAGTGGCATAAAAGGGCCTGAATACTCAGTTCTGGTGTTGGTTCGATATATTACCACTATCGTCAGCGGCTGTTCCGCATATTCACTGTTAATAGTCAGCGGCTGCTCCGCTACTATCTAATAAACAGTTATACCCGTTGTGGTACCAGCTTGGTGTATACCAAACCGGACCCCAAAATTTTTTTTGTCATGGATTTCGCTCAAACTTGGTCTAGGGGGTTATCTGGCATGCTGATCACGAATATCACGTTTTTTCCGCGTGATGACGCCTTCCTGTGCGGTTACGGTGGGTGTACGGTAAGGGGCCAAAATCACGGATTTCGCTGAAACTTGGCCTACAGGGGTTATTCGGCCCGCTGATGCCAAATATCACATTGATTTTGAACCGTAGCGTCATTTTCTCAAGTAACGATAGCTACACGGTAACGGGTGTAAAAAATAGTTTTGCCTGAAACGGGTGTACGGCGATTAGGACAATTGTAAAGCTTTGCACACACGACCACCGCCGCGCGCAACACACCCTGCTGCGGCTTTTGCCTAAGCAAAGCACAGGGGAAAGATACATTTGCCGATTTGTGATTTTGACCCCTACTAAACCAAATTTTGACCCCTACTAAACGGGTGGCGGTCAAGAATAACGATAGCTCTGCCAGCCGCCCAGCTGCCAGCTGCTCGAGCGCGCCAGAAGGCCCCGCCTCTTCGCTCTGGACGAGCGCACGCATGGGCATGCGGCGCGGTTTAAAGGACGCGCATCTTATCGACTGATGATTCACCATTTGTTCACGATTCTTACCCAAAATCATATTTTCTCATTGCGATTCATTTCTCTCGTATCCGTGCAACTTCTTACTTTTACGTGTTTTGCTCTGATTTTTCAGTCTGTTCTCATTTATCATTGTCTCATTCAACCTTTATAGCTTTACCGTGTGTTTTATTTCGTATATAGTTGCAAATATTCTCACTTTCACTGATGTTTGTTTTTTATAGGATTTTCGTATTTGCGTGGGTGGATTGCGTCATCAACACTCATCAACAATACTTGGTAAGTGCCTAATGTTTCTTATATTTCTCTTCGTATTTCTTATTTATGTTTCTTGTATTTTGGGTTGTACTGAACACTTTTTCGAAAATATTTTCAGATCCTGTCCCACATCTCCGACTTTCCCAGCTTCATCCGCAAGTCCAGTTTTTGTTTTTGTTTTTGTTTGTGTATTGTTTTTCTAATTTGTTTGTTGTTTTGTTTTGTTTTTAATATTTTGATTTTGTTGTTGTTCGTTGTTTGTTGTCGGTTGTTGAATACGTTGTTTATTAAAAGCTGTAATAACACATTATCAATAACACATGAGTAGGCAATTGTTAATAATCCAAATAGCTTAGGTAGTAGAAAGATGTCTATCAATTTACTTTATTAGTCACAAACTGCGACATCTTTCTACAATACATTGATATCATAGTTGTGCGGGGAATGGGATTGCTTGGGGAAAATTCTCGTTCATAGCGCCTCATCACTGCAAGAATTTTTGCGCGTCTTATCCTGTCCCTCTTCTTCAGATTAAAATATCGTATGTACTCACTCACCCGCAGCTTGATTACTCAGCATTTGCTGCTGCATCTGCATTTGTTGCAAAAGAGCAGCATAGGTTAGCCAATTAAGTTGAAAACTCGGCAGCATATCGTTGTATGATTGTGCATTGTACTTGCTCTCCTTTTATATAAGCTCATCCTATCAAAGCATGAAGGTCTTGGTGCTTGTGGCAAGCTATAGTGAAGTTACGGTCATGTCAAGTCTGTTTCGCACCTCACATCTAGGTCATATATTGAACTCAACCCTTCTGCCTTGAGGATTTTACGGTAAATCTTGATGACCTTCACTATTTACCTCACTAATCTAAAGATTTAACGAAGAGGCAAGGCATAAATGAAGAAGGATGAATGGAAAGAACTAAGTGATGAATGTCGAAGAGATATCACTGTATTGAAAACGTTCCCAAGCTTTCTGGCATATCACGGATGGGTTCATGTTCTCATTTGACATGACTACCACCGTGAATTTGCTAGATTTACGACTTGGTAAAGCAAACATCATGATATTAAAGCAAACAATTTAATCAAAATGAAGGTGAATAGTAATGTAGTTCTTAGAGAATAGTGTAGCAGTAGAATATGTGAAGAATACTAGTCCAGAATACTATTAGAATGAATACTAGGCTAGAATAGTAGGGAATACTAGAATATCAGCAAAATAAATAGGATTCGCCTTCATACGAAAAGTTGTCATATATCGTGGACTAATGCGAAGTATAAGGGTACGGTATCGTACGAGAAACTCGTCCGCCGCAATAGGGTGGAGCTTAGAGCGAATGCCTTATTGCCAGTTCATGACCCCGCGCGCGCTTGGCGCCAGCTATCGTTATTCTTGGCATATACCCAACCTACTGTAACCATGCAGGGAGACGGTTTCGTGCAGAGAAAGTGTGACATTTCTAATCCGCATGTCGAATAACCCCTCTGTGCGAAGTCACAGCGGATTTCGAGATTTTGACCTCCTACCGTACACCCACCGTAACCCGAAAAAATGACGCTACGGTACAAAATCGATGTGATATTCAGCATCAGCGGGATGAATAACCCCCTACACCGACTTTGAGCGAAATCCATGGTTTTCACCCATTACCGTACACCTACCGTAACCCTGCAGGGAGGCGTTTTCCTGCGGACAAAATATGATATTCGTGATCAGCATGTCGGATAAACCCCCTGGGCCGAGTTTGAGCGAAATCCATGACTAAAAGATTTTGGGGCCCGGACAGCGGAATAGCGCCCATATCGCTGCTTTCCGAGTCGACTAAAGTTACGCATACCTGTAATAAACGTTTTATCCAATCCTCTGATGGTATGATGCTTTTCATGTACGCTTCGAAACTTGCGGAAGAACCGATAAAAAACGTTTTCAGCTACAACAGATTATTCAAAATGCAATCACTCAAAGAAAAAAAACAACCCGAAGCTGCTGCACGAGAGAATCCTTCCAGGAATTCTCCAATTCAGTAGAGAGTTGACATTCGATCATAACCACTATTTAGTAACCGAAACACCGAAGAGGTCAACTAGTGAACTAGCTTCACAAGCGAACTCCACGCCATAGAAAATCATTGCGGTAACATTTATACGATTCTTTCGCAGCTTACTAACTATGTGCCCAAGTGCAATGGTTTCAATTTTGACCTAAAAAATCATCACTGGACAACCGCAATTAAAATTTTCTAGAGTAAACTTGACATCAATCTTCTCATTGATATCTGCTAGCGAAGAACGACTTACCATATAGAAGAACACCTGTTCCACATAACCAAGTGCACAAGAGTCTAAGCAGTCTGGAAGTTTGCCAGGTTCTGGTACTACAAAACGTCTGGGACAACGATCAAATGAACTATGCTGAAAGAATATGAGGAAAACAATAAGCTGTATTTCCTGGTTTTGATACAGCGCTCAAAGCGCTAACATTAGGATGACGTACCTGCCCAATGATCAACCTTTTCGCTCGTAATCCTCCAAGGGTGCCTCTATTCTTTTCTATTAGATCATTGACTGCTTTACACAGAAGCCGAAGGTCACCGTAGCAAGATCTCTTTGGATTCCAAAAAGAATTATAATGTCAACAAAAGGACCAGTTTACGAATCTATGCTTTTGAGAGTGCCTTAAAGGCAGCAGCTCGGCAGATTCTCGACTTGAAGTTTTTTTGCCCACCTGGGGTAATTCGAGACGCTGATTCCGGAGATCCACAATGAAAAGCGCTCAAATGGCAAAAACCACCATTTCCCAAGGCCTCCAATTTTAAATTGGGACGAGTGAAGCACGTTCCGCCATGGTTAGGTAGGTGCCAGAGTAAGCGAATATTTTGTTCAGCTTCGTTAGCTGCAAAAGGCGCGCAGAATTAATGTCTGCTGCATAATCTTTACTGCTGCCAAGGCCTGCTTCCACTGCAGGTCCCGCGCAGAATTAACGTTAATTCTGTGCGCCTTTTGCGGCTGAACGAAGCTGAACAAAATATTCTCTTACTCTGGCACCTACCTTGAAGAGGCAGAATCGTTGCGGGACCCCCGCAGTTATGACATTGCGACATACCTTCTCTGACGGGTCAGAGAGCATCGCAAGCTCGTCCGCGCGTATCAGAATGGCTTGCGCGTCGGGATTTTCTAGGCAAGGGCAGCATGCTGTGCGTTCGGACCTGCTCTATTCTCATGTTTGGGGTGCAAGCAACTTTCCATGTCAAAATTCCGGGATGTTCGGTTTTGGCAACGGCTGCCTTTGAGTCTTACATTTCAAGCATTCCAAAAGCGCATGTCTAAACCAGGGTAATGAAAAAAGAAAGAGTGCAGTATCGTATTTTCAAGTCACAGAGCAAACATAGTGTGGCTGATAATAAGGACATGGCAGTGCCGGAGGAATTTTTTCAGGAGATAGAGGGAAGACAAGAAATTTTCTCCGCAATAATAGAGTTCTCGAGATGCTTGTAGGCCGTCCGCGCCGAGCTCGGGAAGCAACGCGTTGCGTCCATTGAACATATTTCATAAGAAGCGCAGAGAAAACAAGCGGCGAGAGTGCACGAAGAAAGAGGAGTGATGCGCAGCGCACACGTGCGCACTCTCCGCGCCCTGTGCGGACGGCCTGTAGCGATAATTTTCCCCGCCTATGATTTTGCCCGAAACTTTTTTTGAAAAAGGAGCGTAATGATAGCCACGTCTAAAAACTTCAGACAGCTAATTTAAATTTCCAGAAATTTACAAAAACTAATCATCAAGAAAAACAAAACCTTTACTCCGTTTCATAACTTATGCACGCCACATGCAAAAAAGAATTCGTAATCTCTTTTCGGGGAATGGAAAGAAGGCTCCCCCCCCCATCCCACTCCTTCTGTCGGTGGATTCCCCACCCCAGTCGGGGGGGGGGGGGGGGGAATGGGGGAACGAACTTCGCCAGTTTGGGCCGCTTTCTTGGGCATCTGGTCTTTAGTCATATTAATGCATGTCGTTACGAGACCAGCAATCTACGGAGGCGGTCTAAACTGGAGGAGTTCGTTTCCCCACTCAGTTCGGGGGAGGCGTGCAAGTGTTACCCAGGCAGCCGCATGCCGCAGGCAGGCACCAGAGCTGTCGCCAACGCCTCAACTGAACAACAGTAAAGGCAGTGTTGTCCGGGAAAAAATTCGGTTTTTAGCTAAACCGCTCACCGGGGTTATCCGCAACATTGCCGAAAATTCACATTAGAAAGCGCGAAGACGACGAAAACATGCGTTTTCCAAAGCTTTACGAGATAGGGGCACTTTCGCATAGCACTGAATTCCCAAAACCCCATCTTTCGGACACCTTTAAATGCGGCACCGTTCAAACCTCCTGCCTAGAACTTTGCGCACCGCGCACCTTCATGCGCTAACGAACTGCCTTGGAGTTGTAAAGATTGCCACAGATTCTATATCGATCACATCGCAGAAAATTTATAGTCGATGTTTGACTGAAACAGTGTGGAATAAGGGAAGCGCTTCACATGGTTCATCGTGATCTGAGAAGAGGAATGCTCCAGACATTTTTGAATCGGAAAATTTCTTCTATAAATTTCGTGCAAAAGCAAAACAATAGATTTCAAGTTTTTTAGCACAACAGAAGGCGAACTATTTCGCCGAAGATGTTCACCGCGGCTTTGCAGTGGGTGATGAAATACTGGACTGGGACGAAAGAGACATACGAGTTGAGGGGAAATTCCTACCCAACCTTCGTTTTGCGGACGAAATCGTTCTCTCCTTGAGCAGTCTCCGTGAAGCAGAGATGATGCTGAAGGAACTAAACCAAATAGGAGAGGATCGGAGTGCGAATGAATCGGTAGAAGACTCAGTTCATGAGAAACGCCCTTTGCGAAGGTGCAGAAATGGAATCGGAAGGCACGCTATTATGGAGACGTCTTCTTACGTGTTCTCGTACGTTCGATGAACATGGAGAACGACTTGAGGGAAGAACTTAACAGGAGAAGAAGAGCAGCCTGGGCCGCTTTGGGCTCTGAAGGGAGCCAGCGACCAACTGGCAAACCCGGAGCTTCGTGCCCACCTGTTCAACTGAACTGTTCTCCCGGTGCTCTGTTCCGTGCATCTGAGAGTTGGGCCGACACTGCAGCCACGTCGAAAGCTTTACGTACCACCCACAAAAGGCTCGAGCGCAGTCTTCTGAAGATGACCCGACGCAAGCTACAGGGCTTTACAACCTGAGTGTCCCACCCGCCCCGCTAGGACGCCACGCTTAGGTCCGCGCAGCGTTCGTGGCGCTGGCTGCGCGTCGACTGAAGCTTGGCGAAATCCGGGCGATACGCAGCAAACGCCGCGCGCGGCTTGAGCGAGGCGGCCGCGTTGGAAGAGCCGCGCAAGCGAAACTTGCGACTCTCAGGTTGAAAAGCCCTGTACATCTAGTCGGACTTCGCATTGCGAAAGCGGAACACTGATAGGCCGGTCACTTCATGAGAAGAACATACGACAGATGGACACTGAGAACATCAGTGGATTCCCCGCGATGCTAAACGTCCCCGAGGATGACCACAAACGAGATGGGCAGACGTGTTTGTGGAACGGATAAACCAGCTGAGAAATCAGCTAGATACGAATTTCGCCTCTGGAACTCGTACGCAGTGAATGACGTCAACCAAGAAGATTGTGGATGCTGAAGCGAGGAACAGGGATCGATAGAAACTTTTGTGCTGAGGCCCGCACGCAACGTGAAAACGTGCCATTCAAGTATCTAAGTAAGTAGCATAAACGGCCGGGCATACTTCACGCGATTTCAGTCGCGACGCGATATGGCAATTCGCCAGAAGTCTTCACATCCAACACACACAAACTGCACATGCATAATGTGTATAACTTACGTGGATTGATAAAATGTCCTATCTTCTGTACATTTAGATTGTGTTGACAATGAGTTATGGGCAGTTTAAAATATTGCCAAATCGCATTGCGACTGAAATCGCGTGAAGTATGCCTGGCCCCTAACAGAAAACTAGCTTGCTTACCCGGCTCGGCTCAGCCCTGTCAAAACACTGCAGTCCCATCCCTGTCCCTGTACAGCCTTTCCCTGTGCCCATTTCCACACTTCATTTCCCGTCCCCTGTGTTGTTTTCGAAATCAGCATGCCCGCTTACTCCCCTGTGCCAACTCCCATCCCTTCAGCTCAAATTTTGAAAAAAATCGATATCGATTGATACGAAAAGTAGCCTATGGCACGCTCCCCGCCCCGACGTGTATGTATGTGTGCTAAGGTTTGGTCCGGCTCGGTTCAGAAAAAATTTCTATTCCGCACATACGTACGCACAGACATACAGAGAGACAGACACACATTCAGTATATAAAAGATTTTTTTTGTCTGCCCAAACCGCAGCGCAAGTAATTCATTTACGACTGAGAAATTCATCCCCAAACACCCCGCGGCTGCGCCGTGACCACAACACTTAGGATGGATCCGAGCGCGAACGTAGTGTTAAAGTGAACGAAGTCGTTTTCGGGTTACAGTCACGGCGCATTCGCTGGGTTTTCGAGGACGTATTTCTCAGCCGTGAATGAACAAGTTGTGCTGCCCCTAGAGAAGTCCTTAGTCAGAACACCCTCATCATTCCAAGCGAAAACCCAATGCGCCCAGATTCGCCTGAGGTGTGCCTTTAAAGGCAGCGTCCAGGCAAGTTCTGACACATGGGGATCTCACGTGGATAGTAATTTTGGGGCCCTAACTAAGGGCCCTAACTAAGCCACTGCTCAAACGGCAGCTTAGGAAGTGCTCTAACGGCTGAGATATTCCCCTCGAAACTGGACCCCGCGATCGTATTACGCATGGATTCATGGCGCAAAGCGTGGATCCGACGCGAATTTGCCATGAATCCATGCGAACACGATCGCGGGGTCCAGCGAGGGGAATATCTCAGCTATATTAGAGCACTACCTGCGCTGCCGCTTGGGCAGTGCCTTAGTTAGGGCCACAATGGTTTTTTCCACGTGAGATCCCCATAGGTCCAGATCAGTCTGGACGCTGCCTTTAAGTGGTTTAGGGCCTTGTGGAGTTCTTCCTGGGCAATGTCCGCAGCTGACATGGTCTTCACGATCTGGCAAACCTTAGGCCAAAGCTTTGGCCATACTTCGCCCGTGTTGCCGATGTTACCAGTGTTACTCGTGTTACTCGTGTTGCCGATGTTACCAGTGCTACTCGTGTTACTCGTGTTGCCGATGTTATCAGTGTTAATCGTGTTACTCATGTTACTCATGTTTCTGGTGTTACCGCCTTTACTGCTGTTGATTATTGAAATGACCTCCAGTATAGTCTCATTTTCTCGGACGACATCTCACCAATTGTTGAGTAATTGTACTACTACCAATGCTTAAAGGCAATTCTTCAAGACAGTGGCTCGGGGAAAAGTGCGACTGCAAGCTTTCCACAATTACATGGCCTTTTGGATGCGCTGAGTTTATTGCTGTGCTTGTGTAGTCAAAAAAAGTACTACAGCGTTTCCCTGTCTTGGAAATAACTGGAGGGACTAGGGAGGGATCCCTCATAAACAGCTACTGGCTGCAGTAGACTGTAACTCTACCCGTTTTGGCGTGACTGGCTGATCGGTTCAGGCCAGGGCCCGGCACGCGTTGGTTTGGAGGATTTTTGAAAACGAAGTCCCCCATGACTCCGAAAATCTTTACGAAGTCCCCTTTGACCCCAAAATTGGGGTGCCTGGCATTCTGAGGCTTTGGCTATTGCCACACTTCGCTCAAAAGCGCCAAAAAGCGCTTAAAAGCGCCCTAAAGCGCCCAAATTTCTTTGTTGTCTCTCACTTTCTCGTGTGAGGAGAGATGAGAGAGATTGAGGAGGGGGGTTAGAAAAGTTTGGGCGCTTTTGAGCTCTTCTGAGCGAAGTCTGGCTAGGGCCTTCAACATTCGATAAACTTTTCCAGTATAAGTGTTTATTAAGGCAACATACACGTGACACAAAAGGCATTTTGCCGACTGAGGTAAGCAAAGGAATGTAAAGGAATGTGCTGAGGTCCGTGTTAATGAGATCCATAGCAAAAAATTCTCAGCTTTGGGCAGCTAGTGCTGCAGACGTGTTAAAGAGATCAGTATGTTAACAAAAAAATCTCAAAATTCAAGTTTTTCGAACGATACAGCAATTTCGATTCAAAAAGTGTGGCGAAAAAAATGTGCTTTTTGAAAGCCTCAAAATGGTGAAAATGAAAAAACAATTAGCAAAAATAAAAGTGTGAGGTAGAGATGAAGTGAAGATACGTCGCCTTCGTTCAGGTGCTTTAATTCAAGAACGGATTAGCTGGACGTGCCATCAGCGCAGGGATATCCTGGCGGTAGAATGCGGGAATGTTGGGAATCTGCGCCGGATTCGGATGTTGTTGTCGATTTCCTGATTCTGCTTCATCTGAATGAGATTTTTCTGGCATAAAAATTGAGCATTAAAAAACAAAACTCACAAGTCTGTAATGGAAAAAAAAGATAGAAGCAGGAGAACCAAATTTGTCAAATGCGCAAAACCATCGATGACCCCGAAAGTGGGACAATCACATTTCATGGATGGCTGGAGTACCTAAAAATAGAATGATATAAAATAAATAGATTTGAAACTAGAAACTAGAAAATAGACTTACGATGGGTTGTTGTTGTTGGTCAGCATGTCGAATAACCCCTCAGTGCGAAGTTACAGCAAATTTTGAGATTTTGACCCCCTACCGTAAACCCACCGTAACCCGAGAAAATGACGCTACGGTACAAAACCAATGTGATATTCAACATCAGCGGGCCGAATAACCCCTCTGGACGAAGTTTCGGGCAGATCCGTGATTTTGACCCCCTACCGTAATCCTACCGTAACTCCACCGGATGGCGCTGTCGCACGAAATAAGCATCATACTGGTGTTCAGCCTACCAAATAACGCTGGATTCCAAGGACACAATACATTACTATCACTTATCTACTAAATATAAGAGCGATCAGAGACAAAATTTTCTCGAGCATTGTGATAAATCATGGAATCAAAATTCACGCGTGGAAGGAAGAAAACGACGATTTTATGGCCGTCCTGCTAAAGGTTTCAGGCTCAATTATATTCAGCATCAATCTCGTAGATGCTGCCGGGCAACCGTCGCTTTTTCAATCGAAGCCATCGTCAAATTTCGAAATTGAATTATAATTTCAATCATAGCGAATGTCAACACCTGCGTGCGCTTGGCTAAGGTGAGTAGCGGGAAGTGAACATTCACAAAAGCATCCTTTTGCAGAAGATAAACAGTCTTGGTAACCGAGGTGATGCGCTAGCATACCAAGATAGCGTGTCTAGTATAACAGACAGATTAGAAGCAAAGGTGAAGGAGCGAAAAAAAAGAAGCGGGTAGTCGAAAGCTGCGCTTAGGACGAATTGATGAAGCAAAACTCTTGGTATGCCCGCACGCAGATTTACTCCATAGATTTGTTGTTAAATGAAGCAAGATAAATAAGTTCTCCATAATGTAATGTGAATTGTAAAATCATCAAATGCCGTAATTCGAAAACAACCATAAAAAGCAGAAAGTATTGTCACTCTCGACTGGCAGCAATTTCAATACTTCATTTCGATAATGAACTGAAAATGAAAAAGTCTCGAAATGTGCACGTATGGTGTCCAGAAGGTTGTTATGAGGCTTTTGACCGAAATTAACATTCCAAAGCAAAAAAAGCTTCAGAAATGCTTCGAACGACCAAGTCAATAGAGAAGAATTTACTGCAAGAAAACACCAAACTGGTTCTTTGCATTAGGTTATAAAAAATCTGCAGCTGTCTTGAGTGTGGCTGGCGCCGTTTTTTTCTAGAACCGAGACGGAAAAATGCACAGAAAAAGATGACTACTTCTGACGTTCATTGTAAAATAGTGCAGGCAACCCTTCCAAACGAGCAACTGCAAATAACTCGTCAAAAACAAGAGGATAATTTCAGCTTCTCCAAAGTTTCCATCGTAATTATCAATAAAAACCATAATTCCATTGAAAGACTGCTATGAAGAGAGAACTGCCCCCTCAAATGCAATATGAATCTTTCAGCATTATTATTGAACGACACGTGACAAGCATTATGTTGCCAAAAATTGCGCGACATGAGTGTTGGCGAAGCTAGATGCACTTTCGTCCTGTTAGGCCTTTGCGATTTGGTCGTCGCGATTCAATCGCTAAAGACAAGTGTTACGAGTTCATTGCACGCCGATCTTCTTGTATCCGGTGGTGATAGTAAGTCACAATTAGTCGTGTTGGAAAACTATCACGACCGAAATGCAAGAAGATCGGCATGCAATGATAGTGTCAAAGTTTACATGTCGCGTTCAATCGCGACGACCAAATCGCGTAAATTCTGCCCGAGGCCCAATGTGGAATGGCGAGGTAAGCTAACAAATCAAACAATGAAAAATCAAATCAATAAATCAAACCCACCTTGTCTGGCTCTTGTCGTACCATCCGTCTTTCTTGCTGTTGACTTCATTCGCCTCCATTGCGAATACTTTCTGAAACGAAAGAATATTAAAAACAAAGAAGAAGACAGAAAAAGACACAAAGAGACGGAAAGAGAAGAAAACGAAGAGAAGCACATGACGAGACAAAAAAATGAAATGATGCAATCGGCGCCATTTCAAAGGGCGCCGTGACACACATGTGATTGGAGCGTAATATCTATCAAAGCCTCTATTTTCATATTATATTTGGCTCGTAAAAAGAGCAGAGGCCATGGTTTGATTTGCTCTCTTCACCATATAATAGATTTTCAAGCGCTTTAATCGTCCAAATTAAAAAGGTCCAAAACTTATGTGAACTCTTCGAAATTTATGCTCCGAACCAACCCAGTTGGTTCGGTGGTTGGTTTTGAAACCAACAAATCCGGAACGGGTATTCAGGCACATAAGTTTTGGGAACTTTTTACATAACATAGTTTGGAGTAATATTGTATACACATAGCCCAAATTTGGGGTCATAAGGTTGTTTGTGCGTTGTAAACAAGTCATTTGTTTGTTTGAGTCTTGCATTTGAAATTCGCGCGCTTGCGAAAGAACACGTTCAAACTCGTGAAACCTGACATGTTCGTCGTGTTTTTTTGGCGCTTCCTCCCGGACCTCATAAAAACGAAGTCCCCTTTGCTTTCGCCCTCAAAAACGAAGTCCAGTTTGACCTCAAACCAACGCGTGCCGGGCCCTGGTTCAGGCAGCCAGTCGCGACTCAGTTGGCGATCGCTCGCTCATCCCCTTCCAAAAATCTCCAAAGTAGAAAACGCCGTAAAAAGTACTTTTTGACTATTCAAGCACAGCAATACTCAGCGCATTCAAAAAGCCATGTAATTGTGGAAAGCTTGCAATCGCAATTTTCCCCAAGCCACTGCCTTGAAGAATTGCCAAACTATAAATAGCATTCGGCATCAGTATTAGTACAGATGCTAACCAAATGGTGAGGTGTCGTCCGAGAAAATGAGACTGTACTGGAGGTCGTTTCACACAGCAATAAAGGCGGTAACACTAGAAACATGAGTGACACGAGTAACACTGGTAACATCGGCAACACGAGTAACACTGGTAACATCGGCAACACCGGTAACACGAGTAACACTGGTAACATCGGCAACACCGGCAAAGTATGGCCAAAGCCTTGTACAATCATGCTTCTCCGCACAACTCGGTCGGTTCTGTGTTGTTATGGCCGTCCGCGCCGTACTCGGAGAAATGCTGCTGCGTCCATTGGAGATACATGACTGGAAGAGAAGAAAACAGAAAACAAGCGTCGAAATTGCATAAGGAAAAAGGAGTGTCGCGGGGTAGAGGACAATATGTCGCCGAAAAAGGGCGGTCCCCGCGGTCATTTGCGACAAATACGCATTCTTGTACATGCGCGGACATGCGTTCCTGCAGGGAATCCGCGCGGGATTCTTCCAAATTCGGCGACATATAGTCCTCCACCCAGTGTCGCGCAGTACACATCTTGCGGAGACGGCCTATATATGTATGCTGGCAGTCAAAAACCATGGGCTGATAGTTAGAGACTGGTTAAATACCATTACCTGGCTTGCAAAAACAAGAGCGTTTTCCCAAAAGCCGTTTTTCTCTAACTGCGCACTGTAGTACGACAAAGCGATAAGTCTTGCCAGATGCTTCACAATACGCGGGCACAACTCGGGTGGAAGCTCCAGGAAAGGAAAGGGAACGTCGCGACTTTCTGGATTTTCTTCCTGGGTCGCTCCGGTTGCTGTGACGGTCGTACGCGAGCTTGATGGAAGTTCCATCACGAGATCTGAAAAGGCGGATTCATCAACAGCAACTACTTACGCATACCCTGATTTCACGCGTAGAAGGCGCACCTTTTTGATTTTTCATGCGAAACGCTCAGCCGCTTCAGTGTAGTTCAAAAAGCGATCTTTATATTGCACGATTCACCTAAGCAATACACGGCACGACTTAGGGGCCTTTGCTCGCGAAGTCCTTCGGCGTATTTGGGCTTATCAAAAAAAAAATCCCCCGCATCTTGTACGCGCGAAATTAAAATGAAATTGAGCTATGATTGAAAGCGACTACAAAGACCGCCGATAATACCGCTGTGATACTGCAACGGTTAAGAGAAGACCGTGAAACGTATTATCTAGTAAGGTCTAAGGCATACCTGACGCGATTCGGCCAAATTGCCGCTTTCAAGTGACTTGGCGATTTGCCGATTTCTACAGATTTATCGTGCGCGCTTCTCGAACACATAGGCGGGTAGCTTGTGTAAGTTGTTGCAAATGGGTCAAGTCCTGACCAAAGGAAACGCATTAATGACGAATTACAAAGAGTCGCTCTTATGCCAAATCGCGCAGCGACCGGAATCGCGCGAAGTATGCCTTAGGCCTAAGGCCCTGGACAGACTTCACGCGACTTAATCGTCGCGATCTAATCCCCAAGAACTCGATCGGGCAGGGAAACAGATTCTTGTGTGTTTGGGGCAGTTCTTACAATTTTCAAACGGTCATCAAGCGGCATATAATGCAAAATTTCCTTTTTGAATACTTACTATCGGTCTGTAAGCGGCACGTAGGGCAACTCGATCGGGCAGGGAAATAAATTTTTGTACGTTTGGGGCAGATCTTGTAATTTTTGAACGGTCTTCAAGCGGCACATAGGGCATAAACTTCCTTTCTGAATACTTACTATCGGTCTGTAAGCGGCACTTATAATTTTTGAATGGTCTTCAAGCGGCACATAGGGCAAAAATTTTTTTTGAATAGTTATTATCGGTCTGTAAGCGGCACGTAGGGCAACTCGATCGGGCAGGGAAACAGATTCTTGTGTGTTTGGGGCAGTTCTTACAATTTTCAAACGGTCTTCAAGCGGCATATAATGCAAAATTTCCTTTTTGAATACTTACTATCGGTCTGTAAGCGGCACTTATAATTTTTGAATGGTCTTCAAGCGGCACATAGGGCATAATTTTCTTTTTTGAATAGTTACTATCGGTCTGTAAGCGGCACGTAGGGCAACTCGATCGGGCAGGGAAATAAATTTTTGTACGTTTGGGGCAGATCTTGTAATTTTTGAACGGTCTTCAAGCGGCACATAGGGCATAAACTTCCTTTCTGAATACTTACTATCGGTCTGTAAGCGGCACTTATAATTTTTGAATGGTCTTCAAGCGGCACATAGGGCAAAAATTTTTTTTGAATAGTTATTATCGGTCTGTAAGCGGCACGTAGGGCAACTCGATCGGGCAGGGAAACAGATTCTTGTGTGTTTGGGGCAGTTCTTACAATTTTCAAACGGTCTTCAAGTGGCACATAAGGCATTAACTTCCTTTCTGAATACTTACTATCGGTCTGTAAGCGGCACTTATAATTTTTGAATGGTCTTCAAGCGGCACATAGGGCAAAAATTTTTTTTTGAATAGTTATTATCGGTCTGTAAGCGGCACGTAGGGCAACTCGATCGGGCAGGGAAACAGATTCTTGTGTGTTTGGGGCAGTTCTTACAATTTTCAAACGGTCTTCAAGCGGCATATAATGCAAAATTTCCTTTTTGAATACTTACTATCGGTCTGTAAGCGGCACTTATAATTTTTGAATGGTCTTCAAGCGGCACATAGGGCATAATTTTCTTTTTTGAATAGTTACTATCGGTCTGTAAGCGGCACGTAGGGCAACTCGATCGGGCAGGGAAATAAATTTTTGTACGTTTGGGGCAGATCTTGTAATTTTTGAACGGTCTTCAAGCGGCACATAGGGCATAAACTTCCTTTCTGAATACTAACTATCGGTCTGTAAGCGGCACTTATAATTTTTGAATGGTCTTCAAGCGGCACATAGGGCAAAAATTTTTTTTGAATAGTTATTATCGGTCTGTAAGCGGCACGTAGGGCAACTCGATCGGGCAGGGAAACAGATTCTTGTGTAACTTCGGTATGATATTTGAGCAGTGGCCAAGATTGGTATCGATCTTTATTTCTCGGCTAACGTTTCGGAGTACAACTCCTTCTTCGGAGCCTGAAAGATCAAAAACTATGCGAAACTGTTCCTCTAAGCACTCAGTCACCCAACAGATACCGTACAACACAAGGTAGTTACAAGATGAAGATAGAGACCGTAACTAAGCTAATGCTTACCTCAATAGCCAGCAATGGAGACTAAGAGCAGGCCACCTAATGGATAGCGCCGTTACTGTGTACTGCTATACCACTATTTATACAGCCCAGATGACCTGACCTGACCCAGACCCGTAGGTCAAAAGCCACAAAGAGCTTGATACGGTGCTAATTCGGTAGTCACGGCAATGCACTCTTCTTTGCGGTTTATTTTTGGAGTTTTTGATGCTATCCAAAATGCCTCCAACGTCTTTCGCGCTACTGTATCAGGCTCCTGCGATAAGATGGTGACAGCTACGTCATAGTGTTGATCGTCATGGCGTTGCCTGCGGTGGGCACCTAGAGGGGTAGACAACTTCGATTTTTCGAGCCCGTCTAGGTGCTCCTTGACCCGTACGCACAAGGGCCTCCCGGTTTCCCCTACATACTGATCTCCACATGTCTGGCACGTAATCAGATACACTACGCCAGACTCCATACAATCCCCCTGCTTCCCAAATGGACAAATGACGCAATTCGGAATCGTACATAACCGGTCGTAGGCACGATTTCGTATAAGTTGTTTCCTAAGGTTGGGGGGTGGTATGTCTACGACTCTTACGTCATTTGCGAGCCCCGCGTGCTGCAGACTTTTCCTGATTGCTCTGCTAAATTCGTCGCAAATGAAGGGAACGCTAAAAGGAATTTTTGGAGGCTGCTCAAGTGTGCGCGATCTACGGCCTGGCAAATGATTAGACTTAAACTGATTGCCTGTTATGGGGTAACCGTTAGACTGCGCGATCTGTGTAGCCAGATTTATCGATACGGTGCGTTCCTGCGCATTTGAAGAGACCATCCTAGCGGTTCTGAACATGTTGCTTACCACGGATCTCTTAGTGCTCCAAGGGTGTGCAGAGCTATAATGGACTAGTATATTTTTGCTGCTAGGCTTACGAAACCATTTGGTCTTGTATACCCCATTGGATAAGTATACCTGCACATTGAGGAAGGCAAGCCAATTATCGCTGGGTGTCTCGCGGGTGAATTTGATGTTGGGAGACTGGGTATTTAAGAGATTGAAGCAGATGTCCATCTCACTCTGTGATGGACATACTACACAACAATCGTCTATGTAGCGACAGTATAATAGTGGCTTACGGGCAAGTACTGGGGTTTCAATTTTGGACATAAAGGCAATAGCAATGGTAGGAGCCAGTCTTTGCCCCATGGCTAACCCTCTAACTTGTCTGTAATACCTTCCAGACCAACGAAAAATGCAGCAGTTCAAGCACTCACTCAAGAGAGTCATTACTTGCTGAATAGTGAGGCCGTACATGTGGAGAGAGTCCTGATGTTCCATGAGAAGCTCAAACACGGCTTCCATGGCAGACTTGTTGGAAACATTGGTGTACAGAGAAGTGACATCAAAGGACTCCATCACACAATCGCTAGTGAACTGCGTATTCCTAAGATGTTCGAGAAACATTTTGGTGTTTGATAAATGTGCAGGTATGAACCTAAGCAGCTGGTTGAGAACTAGATTTAGCAGCCAAGATATTCTATCGTTGGGACCCCCGAAACTACTTATTATGGGCCTGACCTTAAAATCTGATGGATTGTTGGAGAGTAGAGATGAAGCAGTGAGTTTGTGCGTTTTGACTAGCAAATAGAGAACTGGGCATTTGGGAAGTTCACAGATTCTTGTGTGTTTGGGGCAGTTCTTACAATTTTCAAACGGTCTTCAAGCGGCATATAGTGCAAAATTTCCTTTTTGAATACTTACTATCGGTCTGTAAGCGGCACTTATAATTTTTGAATGGTCTTCAAGCGGCACATAGGACATAATTTTCTTTTTTGAATAGTTACTATCGGTCTGTAAGCGGCACGTAGGGCAACTCGATCGGGAAGGGAAATAAATTTTTGTACGTTTGGGGCAGATCTTGTAATTTTTGAACGGTCTTCAAGCGGCACATAGGGCATAAACTTCCTTTCTGAATACTTACTATTGGTCTGTAAGCGGCACTTTAATTTTTGAATGGTCTTCAAGCGGCACATAGGGCAAAAATTTCTTTTTTGAATAGTTACTATCGGTCTGTAAGCGGCACGTAGGGCAACTCGATCGGACAGGGAAACAGGTTCTTGTGTGTTTGGGGCAGTTCTTACAATTTTCAAATGGTCTTCAAGCGGCATATAATGCAAAATTTCCTTTTTGAATACTTACTATCGGTCTGTAAGCGGCACGTAGGGCAACTCGATCGGGCAGGGAAATAAATTTTTGTACGTTTGGGGCAGTTCTTGTAATTTTTGAACGGTCTTCAAGCGGCACATAGGGCAAAAATTTCTTTTTTGAATAGTTACTATCGGTCTGTAAGCGGCACGTAGGGCAACTCGATCGGGCAGGGAAACAGATTCTTGTGTGTTTGGGCCAATTCTTGTAATTTTTAAACGGTCTTTAAGCGGCACATAGGGCATAAATTTCTTTTTTGAATAGTTACTATCGGTCTGTAAGCGGTACGTAGGGCAATCGATCGCGCAGGGAAACAGATTCTTGTGTGTTTGGGCCAATTCTTGTAATTTTTAAACGGTCTTTAAGCGGCACATAGGGCATAAATTTCTTTTTTGAATAGTTACTATCGGTCTGTAAGCGGTACGTAGGGCAATCGATCGGGCAGGGAAATAAATTTTTGTACGTTTGGGGCA